TTTGCAATTTTCTTAACATTCATGGTTCCATTCTGTCTTATTAGTATAAATAAAGCGCGAAAATTATTCACGAAAAAACTTGCAAAATATAATAATAACTTCAACATCAATAACTTTTATCAACGACAATAAATCACATGTTTTCACTACATCTGCTGCTACATCTCTACTACATATACTACTTCTTCTGCTCCCATTACCACTACTCCCATGATGGTACACAAAGTCTATAACTACCATTTCTGCACTAATGATGCAATCCGTGTATATCCGTCATCCGTTCATCCGCCATTTACCTCTAAAAATTAATCCGTCGTCCAGTAATTTCTCGCAGTTAATAAATCCCCTCATTTGGTATTGAAGTTGCTGAGACAGAAAGGTATTAACGAACAATTTTGCGAAAAGAGGGCACTTGTATTTGTAATTCCACCAATCAAAAGGACTACAATTAAATTCAATAAAAAATCAATATCTAAAATTCTTTATATTTATTTACCTTCAACAAACATTCAATTGTTTTCTAAATAACAGCAATCCTATATTCTGACTGCGCTTCCGTCCTGCACCGGCTGACTTACATTTAATTATTTTTGTTTAGCATTTTCCATTCCTTTGATAAACCAACCCACCATTAAAAACATCGTATATTCAGAATTGATATGGAATATTTCTTGTATCAACGGATGTGTTATACTAAATATCACATAAATATGTACTTCTACCCACCAAGGTATGCAGTTGCTTCTTCAAATGGTTTTAGAACTTTGACTAATTCCTTCAAAATTCACACTTAAAAGAATCTCTTTCAATCTTTTAGGACATCATAATTAGACTCCATGGAACTTGCTAACAATGAAATAAATCTTGATTTTTATAAGTCTTGTCCAAGAAATATAGCTAGAATTTCAACGAGTTGGAACATGTAAAATTACCACATCAGAATGTCTATTCATTTGTATTTGAATAATTTAAATATTTTTCAAACGTTCATTCTGCTTAAGGTGGAGGAAAAAACCTATGAGTCTTTTTGCTCTTTTGACTAAAATTTT